ATCTATCTATCTATCTATCTATCTATCTATCTATCTATCTATCTATCATCTATTGATCTTGATTGATCCATCTACCCACCTACCTATCTATCTATTAGCTAGGGATAGAACCCAGGATCTCCCAACCCCCAAATTCCAGTCGAAAATCAGAGTTTACTTTCTTGCACAAGATTTCAAAGCCATTTTCCAGGTGGCCTGACCCAAGCCTTTGTCCCCGGCGGCTCTCGGTCGGGTTAAGTCCGTGAGGTTTTAGCTGTAAAGTGCTTCAAAGTCAAGTGTGGGTCCAGCCTGCTACAGGCCCCAGGCCAGCTCTTATTTATGGCAGAGATTTCCTCCTGGCTAGAACTATACACCAGTTTCCAGGCTAGACTTCCTAGCCCTGAGATCTGAAAACTCATACACAATCTTCACTTTTTTCTTGCATGAAAAAAAAAAAAGAAAAAGAAAAAGAACCAACGACACGGAATTTGCAGCTACCCCGTCTTAACTATTCCTGGATGTCACCCTGCAGCTCTGATTTCTGCTTTCTCCTCTGCATTCTGGGGACTGCTGCCGGACTTGTCAGCACCTTGTCACGGCTTCCTGTTGCGTGGGCTACCATTGGACTCTGCGTTCCTCACAATTATCCACAAACCCCACAAGTCCTTCACAATTAAAAAAAAGTATATATTAATAGGTAGGAGAAGGAAGCTACTTTTAAAAATTTAGTGGGGGCCGTTTGTAAAGCCTCCCTGCCCCCGTGAGGGGTCGTGTTGTTTTGCATCTTCTAGTCCTGGGGTAGTCTTTTGTTCTTGCTGTAACATGGACCAAGAATGTGTGGGAGCCAATATGATTTAATGAAATAATATACAAATGTCAAGAATACTTTCATGTCTTGTGTACAGACCATAATAAATTACTTGGATGGAATGTTTTGCTTTTCTTTTCAGGCAACAACCCCACAGCTTACAGTGAGCTTCACTGATAAGAAGCGGCTAAGAAGTATGGTAAAGCTAACCCATTTTTACGTGGGATTAAATGACTGCGGGGAGGGGGGGGAATCTCACCCAGCTTCAAGAGACACAGTCATGCAGAAGACAGGGACAGGCAGGAAGCAGTTGGTATTAGGGCTGTCCTGGAATTCTTGTGGGCAAAGTGGAGGAAAACAAATTCAGTAAGGATGAAAGAGAATGAACTCATTTCTCAGAATTAAAGGTGAACCGAAAGAAATTGGCAGCTGTCTGGACTTGCCAGCCAGGGAGGCCATGGTGTCAGATACACGTGACAGATCCAGAGACAAGGCAACACTCCCTAAACAGCTCCCAGGAAGGGCTTGCCAGGAAGCCAGATGCCGCTTCTGGAAGACTGTCTTCCGTGGCTGGGCATCTGGGTTCAGCGCTTTCCATTTACAGAGGAGAAAGGTGGTGGCAAGTGGCAGCCCGTCGCTGCCCTTCCAAAAAGTGCTGTTTATAAGTGTGAGAAACGCACACCGCGGCATCAGGGGATTTTGACACGGCGCTTGTTTTCAAAGACACCGTTGAAGGATGCAGCACCCCCCTGGCTTTGCAGACAGAAAGCAACACAGCAAGAGAAAGGAGGGAGGAAGAACAAGAAGACTGTCACAGTTCTGCTGAGGCTCCTGTGACCATCAGGGCGTTCTCATCTCTTACGGTGCCTTAGGGGGTTTTATCTGAGTGACTGGGGTGATACATGGTCACAATTAGGGGAACTGAATGAAGGACAGTGCCTCTCCAGGCTGTATCCCCGGCATGTTCTTCTGCCCCGGGGAAACACGGTTGAGTATTGGTGTTGGCAGGAGAGCGCAGTGTGCGCTGGGAGACTGGAAATAAGGTGACTTGAGGTCTGGGTGATTTTTTTTTCTCCTTCCACTTTGAAGTTTACTGTCTTTGATGCGCAGCATTACACAAACCCCATTTGTTTATCCGACAAAAGAGAGAGCAAGCTTTGTAATTAGGAGTCTTCATTCTTTCATTCATGCCTTGCTTTTATTCATATTTTCTTTCTCACCCCCAATCTCTCTTTTCTCTCTCCCTCTCTCCCTCTTTTATTCTCCCCTTTCTTCACCTGATACTTAATATTTGACAATAGTATGAAGTCTTTTGAAATTGAAAAGCGTGATCCATAGCGAAGTTGGGATTGATACAACAGGAGCTGGGACTGACAAATTCCCTCACGTGAGTGACCTTGGAATACTCTGTCCTAAAAGACCTGTCACCATCAAATCTCTTGCCTCCAGGATCAGGGGACTCTGGAAGAGGAGGTGGGAAGAGCGTAAGAGCCAAAAGGGATGGAGGACACCAAGGACCCAAGGCCTCTGGACACAGTGGGAGCGGCACACCTATGCACTCACGGAGCCTGAGGCAGTATGCCCAGGGCTTGCACCAGATGTGGTCCGAGAGCTGAAGAAAGACGTGGGCACATGGCCCCCATCCCTAAGTCAGGAGCTATCTCCAATTGGTAACCACTTGCAAAGGAAAAATTAGTTTTCCCTAAGAAAACAAACCTCTCTTAAGGGCAGGCCCCCAGCCCAGCAATTGACACAAACGGAAATGAACTTGAAGGCATCTGTGGAGATTATTGTCTCATTACGGTTAGTCAGGGAGATTTTTTTCCCTCCCACCTTACAGGTTGCTTGTGTGTGTATTATGACCTATCGTTTGGTGTTCTCATGGGATTCCTGTGTGTGTGAACACGTGCTTTTTCTTTGACTTTTTCCTGTCTGGTTACATTTTCATATTCAAGTTTGTTCTGGATTTGTGTTAACTTATTTTATTATTATTCCTTAGATGCGTAGTTATTTTCTAATGGAGAGAGAAAGGGCGTGGATCTGGATGGGAAGGGGAGGGAGGGAGGACCTGGAAGGAGTAGAGGGGAGAAACCATAATCAGAATATACTGTATAAAGAAAGATCTGACAAAAGGAAAATATTCTCTTAAGGAGCTGCATTCCTTAATCCTGGGGTCAACCCTTTCATGGCAGAAGGGGTCAATTTTTGTTTTTAATTACTATTGTCACCAACATTTTCAAGAGGCTGAGTTACAGAATATCTCCCTCCTGCTCGCTCAATGCTGTGTTTATTTATCGGACATGCGAGGTGAAGATAAGAACAGTATCTGCTCACGGCTAGAAATCTACCCAACGGTCTGCTATCATGAAAACTTTCTGTTTCGTTTATTTTTTTATTTATTTTAAGCTTTTGTGCATCCTTTTTTTTCATTGAGCTTTTTCTAGCCCTCTTTTAAGGAACTAGTAGACTTGCACACGACATATAATACCTCTGCTTCTGCCACACTTTCTTTCTGTAACATGCTTGATGGTCTCCAAGAGCTTCTACGGCCGTGTTTCCGTGAGACGTTCCGAGGCTGCTGCTGTCAGCGCACCCCTTGGGGTTATGTGTGGCCCTGTGTCATTGCCTTCTTCAAAGTGACGCTTCCCAAACTTATCGAAAGACCTATTGGTTCTACTGTACTACATTCTGCTAGTGGATTATAAACGGTGACCAAATCACACGATGCCCTAACTTCCGGCCCTCCAGTGCATCCGCTTTGTTTCTTTACCCTGCTGAGTTACAGGCATTGCCCTGCAGCTAGTTTAAGGCCTGGGAGCCCTCCTGGAAGTCACACTACTCATGCGCTTGGGGACAGGTGCTATGGGCTGTGCTTCCTCGGGGCTCTCGGAGCTGACCTGCCCTGTTCTCCTAACTTTATCCTGTTTTGGCCATCTAACTCCTCGTATCTCAGACTGTTTCACCTCTTCTCTGCTTAGACCTTCCTATGCAAGCCTTTTGCTTTACTTCCGTACCGGGAGTACTTCCACAGTTGACCCGAAATTCAAACTCCTTTATAATACTAGGGCTTTCTTGACAATTTATCTTATCTACAACATTCTGAGTTTACATTTTTTTATTTCTATTTGCAATTCATAAGTCTGTTTATCCTGGAGGACATTTTTCCCCCTCACATTGTGGCCCTCCATGCCCTGGTACACAGTACAGTTTGCAATTTGTGCTCACAAGTTCCACGTTAGAGGAATTAATAACCGCTGATTAAAACTGTTGAACTGTTTTTACATTTTACTGAGCATGTATAGAGTAATCTTCTTGTCATTATTTCCTAAATAGTAACAAATAGCAATTATTTCACATTATTACATTATATTAGGTGTTATGAATAATCCAGAGAGATTTAAACTCATGTTTAGAAGGATAACATTGGTTACGTACAAATAGTATCTCATTTTATATAAGAAACTTGATCATTTTTAGCTTTTGTACAGTGCCTACCAAATGGATAGATCCACTTACAGCTAGTCTGTGTCATGGATTCTGAGGGTGTTCTTTTGAGGTTTCTAAGCTAAATTTCCCTCTTGCTTGGTGTTTCATGCCTTGAATTCGGTGGACAGACACTTATTCTTCTAGGAATAAGTGCATTAGATATTGTTCAACTCGCTGGGATTATTTAATTCCTGGCATTGTAGAACGAAAATTTTCCAGGAAACATATAAACAGCAAGTGTGTGCTTCAATAAACTGTTATTGACAAGAACAGGGAGCAGGATAGATCTTGTCTAAGCTTGAGAACTTGTCAATCTACTAGTTCCTTTAGGCCCTAGAAGCTAAACGACACTCATTGAAAGCTTATAAAGGAGTTGGAAGATAGGGTGTTACAATTGACAAACAAATAAGTAAGAATTTATTTCACATATTTCAAACAGGAATAAAAGGAACATTCAGGATAACTTTTTCTCAATGGTGTAATGCTTCTAAGGGCTGAGATTGGGGCTGTAACTATTTTTCTATTCCAAGTTTCAAATTCCCAGTTCTTTCCTTTATTTAGGACAAGTCCAAGAATCGTGATGAAGAAGAATACGGCTAAAATTTTTATTTCTCAGAGGCCAGTATCTCTGTGGGGTGAACCTTGGTTCACAACAGAAGACAGCCATAAAAGGGGCAGAACAAATGTAAATTTTCTGTTTTCTATACTTTATTGAGAAGCAAAGTCTAAAGATCCCCAGAAATCATTTTGCTCCTGCCTTGAATGTTTATTTCCCAAAGCCTTCTTCTAGGAGAAGGGTACAACATAGGAAGGGTAATTGCACCTTGGTCCCCAGGTAACAAATCTTATAAATTCTTTGCTAAGATGTCTCCTCCTAAGTTGATGACATTTTAATAATCCCTATGGGAAGTTGAAAACTGTTGATTCATCTCACAATCTAAATAATTAGTTTTAATGCTCAGACCAGCTTCTCCCACAAGAGTCCAGCTGAGGAGTTTCATGCTCATTGGAAGCACATTAGCTCTTCCAAATGGCGGCCATTTCACACACACAGGCAAGGAAGCCACCATGTTTCTTATTCCAAGCAACTTGCTACCCTTGTCCCTGAAGAAAAGAAAAAGACAGAGGGAAAGGGAGGGATGGATGGATAAATGGAAGAAGAGGGAGAAGGAAAGAGGGAGAGGGAGAGAGAATAACAGTTTGTACACGTTCCTCATTTTCCAGGAAAAATACCCATAGCCTGCAAATCTTTGGCTATCAGGTGTTGTGGTTGGGTGGAAGACCAAAGTGTACAGAAAGAGAGTGCAGTTCCAGGAGACAGCACAGAAAAATACGTCCTGTTCCAAAGCACAGGAGACCAGAGCAGTCCGACGCCTGCATGGGCAGAAGTGAGTCACACCCGCGATGTTCCTGAGGACCAGACGGAAGAGAGAAGGAGGTCCCTGGTTTTGAAGTACATGTTTATCCGTATCTAACCTCCACTGGGGATCAGAAATGCCCACAGTGCCATTGTAAAGAACTGGTGGACACATTGTTTCCTCGATGGTTTCCACACCCAACCCTCCTACTTCTAGGTCATCATCATTTACGTTGCCGCAGATAGGCTTTTGCAGAATATTTCATTTAATATCCATAAAGACCACAATGGCTTTGAATATCAGTTCTCTCTCACAAAGTAGCCACAGCTCCACAGTTGCTCCTTTTAACACGGCATTCAACTGGCATGCTTCCCTGAGATCTGCCTGTTCGCTGAAAACGTTTATTTTTTTTTTTCACTTTGGAAATCTATGAACTATTTTCTAAGAGTCAATGCAAAAGGGAAGATTTTAAAACTCTCCTTTTAATCTAGTTTATAATGTGCAAATCTCCCCCAAGAAAACTTATTTGCATCTAAAAGTTAGCAGCAATTATATTCTTGTAAGGATATTTTAAAGAAATGCTTGAATTCTAGTCTTTCTTTCTTTCTTTCTTTCTTATTCATTCATTCATTCATTCATTCATTCATTCATTCAGCTGGAGATTAACTCAGGGTCTTAGGTAGGATCCTCCAGTACTGGAATTTATTGTTAAAAATACCCATTTCTGAGAAATTTTTACTTTTCCTGCATAATGTGTACCTAGGTGAGAATTAAATGTCCCACCCACCCCCCCCCCAAAAAAAATTCAGAGATTACTTTTGATTTCCTAAATGCAAGCCGCAAAGTAAATCTGGCTAAATATTTTAATTTTGCCCTACTCCAAAGCTCATTTCCTTTGTTCCCTTAAGATTTGGATAAATTATTTCTGATGCCCAAGTCTAACTATGCTACCACAGGTCTCTGGGAGTCTCTTTCCTGCTCTCTCTGCCGTCAGACATGCCGTCGTGAGCTGATTCTCCTACACGAGGATTACCGTGCAGCTGTGCGCTGCACATACATTTGTGATTCTCTGCTTCTCCCTTCCTTCCTTTAATTGGCTCACACCCCAACTGCTACTCCCTAAGAAACAGGCCACTTTCCTACAACTTTCACCCCGTTGGCTTTATCTTTGGTCACCTATGACATATTTTACAGAGAGAGCACTTGGTTCTTACATGGTCACTCGGAAGGTATCATAGGACCTTCCTGGTCCAAGCACTATAATGTCAACTCATGAAAGTGGCCACTAATACATTTTCTGACTGATAGTGTTTTCAGATTGCTGTTCATTCTGAATTTTTTGTCTCTGGCTCTGACAGTAGGCATTGGCCCTGAACTGAAGGTCTTTAGATAAAGCATCCACATCATTTTTACCTCACTTATTTCTGTATCCTAGAAATATGCAGTTCTCTATGGGGAAAAGAAGCCTGAAATTGCAATGCTGCCTAATCGTGAAAACTGTTTCTAATACTATTTAGGAAGACATTCTTCCCTTTATTTTGCAAGAGCAGACAGAGAATAGGATTTGCCCTTGAGTTCAATTAGAATAGGATAGTCAGAGCATAGGATTTGACCCTGAGTTCAATTATGAATGAGGACTTTGGACCCTAATACTACTGAGCCTATGCAGTCATTAAATAACATTATGCTTAGTATAATCACAATCCTGTAAAAGTTCTGGCTTTTATGGGAAGATTTCCCTCCACCTTCTAGTCCAGCTGTGCTGTAGCAAGTTTTCCCAGTTGGTAGCTTCTCTGCTTTGAGGGCAGTGTTTAACTCACAGCTCTGAAAACATAGTTCTGCTCCGCTGACTGTAGAGTATAGAGGTCAAGTGGAATTTTGGCACATTATAATGATTCCTTCCCTTCACTAAACAAACTTTAGTACACACACACATATTTTGTATTAAACACTCCACACAAGTATGGATGGTATATTCACTGAAGGACTACCAAATGCATCAAGAATAAAGAAAACATCCTAATGATTCTTTCAAACACGAATATATTTAAGCTTAAGTTAAACAATCTTTCTATTTAGTCTTCTCAGACTTTGATGACATACCACAACTGGCTGTTTATCAAAAACTTAGAAAAATGCTTAGCAAGATATAATTGTGTACACACATTTATGCATAATTAAACTCAGTTTATAACTTGGTACTGGATGGAATATGGCCACACCACCCAAGAAAGGTTGGCGGATGATAAATAACACATTTTCCTCCCCCATAAAGATAAATCTCAAGATGTGAATGCTTTGAGGTAACAGAAGAATCTGATCTCAAAATCTTAGTTTAAAATATCTATTTCCAGCTTTACTGAACTAAACAAAAGATCTAACTAAGTTAGAAAATCCATTTAGATATCAGAAGCATGCTTTTATAGGAACTGCATCTCTGTGCCTCAGCACATAGATTCTGTGTGTTTTGGAGGGATGTTTTATAGCCAATTTTTAGTTTCTTTATTTTATTTTTTAAAAAATTCTACTATTCATCTTATTCATATTTTTCTTTCCGTCAAAAAAAGAGAAATATCTAAGACTAAGCAATGGCTATTTCTCAAGAACACTAAGACTGGATTTATTTTAGTACTAAATAATGTAATTTTGATTTACCTTTCAACTTTGTCCATCAAGATTTAATAGGAACTCTAGCTTTTAACTGAAATTTGAAAACCCCTTCCATGCTAGGTAAAAATCTTGAGAGGAAAATAATAACATATCAGGAATTCTTAGTCTTGTGTCAGATGTTTTATGCATATTCTTATTTAATTCTCATAACTATAAGATATGACATATTATTTAATCTAGCTGTAGATGTCTGAGACCATACCTGAGACAATGTATAGACCAAAGATTTGGCTTTAAGTCTCCTTTTTCTATTCATTTAAGAGCCAAGATCTTTTCCTATTCTATCCTGCATCCTAGCTATGAAAGATGCTCAGAACTTTGAGAGAACAACTAACATGATGCATTAGGTTCTTAAATGTTCTCTAAAGCAAGTACTGCTTTAGGAAGCTAAGACATAGTGAAACCTGGGAGTGTTATCCTTAGAATGATAAGACAGATCTACTTAACGAAGTAGAAGGCAGCACATGGGTTGTAAACAGTTGAAGAATAATGTGTGCAGGACTCTACTATAGCACCAGAAGAAACATACACGCATATGTTTGCATGTGCTCAGAAAGAGGTCTGAGAGGACCCGTGAAAGAGGTTAGCTACTTCTGCTCAGCAAGCTAAGAGTGATGGGGGAGGGGGGAGCAGGGACAAATGTGACTTTTTAATGTATATTCATCACTGCTGCTTACATATTTTACATGCAGTTGCATAGATTGCGTTCACAATTGAAAATGATTGAATGAATGAGTTGAATAGTTTTCTGGCATTATTCAGGTGATTAAGCAACTTTAATCTCACAAAGCACAACTGTAGTTTTGGTTCACTGCTCGGTGAGCAGTGCGGTGATGCTACGCATGTAGAGAGCTCAGGCGTCACCAAGTGTATCACACTGGGCCTTATTGAATATCAACAGAAGACAATAGCTGTTATTTCAGATGCTGCATGGCCCAAACAGAGCTTTCAAGCCTGCTCTTCCCATTCCTCTACCAGGTTTGCCCATTGGTATGTATGGCACTATCATTTCTCGGCTTGCCTAAGCAGAAACCCGAAGGGGCAGCCATGGTCTCTCCTTCCTTTCTACACTATGCCACGAACAACAGCACGCTCAACTTGACCCACTTGTAAGATTTCTTGACTCATTTCTCTCCAACGCAGTGGTTCTCAGTCTTCCTAATGCTGCAACCCTTTAATCCAGTGCCTCATGTTGTGGCGACCGCCCCCAATCATAAAATTATTTTCGCTGCTACATCATAACTGTAATTTTGCTACTGTTATGAATCATAACGTAAATATCTGCATTTTCTGATGGCCTTAGGCGACCCCTGTGAAAAGGTTTTTGATCCCTAAAGGGTCGCGATCCATGGATTGAGAACATGGCTCTAAGGTCTTCTTCCAGTCACCTCTGTCTCCGGCCTAGGCTTCTAGAGATCCTTGTGGTATTCCTGCCTTCATAATTGTTCTCCATTCTCTGCTTGGCAGTCAGAGAAACCTTGTACTCCCTCAGCTAAGCCTCTTCAGTGGCTTCTCGTATTTAACACGGAAATGTGAGACTTCTGCTTTCAAGTCTACGTTCCTTACCCACTTGGTGCTGGCCTTTCCTGTCTGCTTTCTGTTTTTCATGGGTATCAAGAACATTTGGGCCTCTGGATATTTTTATTTGCCTTCCTTTTCCTGGACCACTCCTCTCCAGCTGACTACCTAACCAGTGCCTTGACAAAGTGGAATGCAGAGAGCATAAGTTATGTAAGTTTGGTTATTAGATTTGGTACATGGTAGAGCTGTACTCCAATGTCTGTCTGAATTGTTTCATGTTTTGCCCATGATTTTAGGTAGCAAAAGTCAACGTGAACCATCATGGGCCCTGGCCATGTTTCTAACAGTCAGTCAGCAAACATTTTCATGCTTAAAAAAATGCAAAAAAAAAATAGAAGCCTTCAAAAGTTCCCTTTTCAGGTTTCTCTTCCTATCTTGAGTATATTTTTAGGCTCCTCAGGAAGACTGAGGTCAGGTCAAGATCTCTGATGGACGCATTGGGGAACCTTTGTCTTAGAGATACAAGGTCAAATGTTCTCCATGTCAGTAACAACTATAATACAACTATAATGCATAACTTACTTAGTCAGATGTCCAAAGAGAATTTTCATGGTGTCATGATTTGGTGGAGGGAGATCTTTTACCAGAGACTTTATAGCTTCAATTCTTGCATTATGATCTTGTTTTTCTGAAACAAAATTGGAAAGAAAGATAAGAAAAGATAGATATTCCACTGGCATATGAAAGGGTTTGTGAGGAGACTTTTTGGACTATGACCTAGCAACAGTACTGATCATTAGCTCCCGACTCTCTTGTAGTAAGCTTCTTGATTTGATGATAAATTAGACTATAAGTACATCAAAACAGTAACAGGGTGACTTTGGTATAATCCTTCTGTTGAGATTAGATATTGAATTACTTTTTTATATTTTTATTTGCAAGGCATGGGGTGAATAATACTTTCCAAGACATTCATGGCCTCTAATCCTTGGTAAGAGAGTCTTTGAAGGTGTGATCAGGTTAGGAATTGACACAGGGAGGCCTTTCTGGAATGTGACCTCTCAGGTCCATATCACAGGCGGTCGAGGGGACGAGAGCTAGCTAGAAGGTAATATGGCAGTGAGAACATAGAAGGGGTGTCTGATGCAGGAGAAGCTGCCTATTGCTGGAAAAGACAAAGACGCAGAACCTGGTGGGGAAACAGACCTATTGATATCTAGAGTTATATCTGGTGAGGCTGATGGCAGATGTCTAACCCTTAGGATTGTAAGAAAGCGAGTTCATGTTCTCTGAAGTCACAGGTTGGCATAAGGACACACAATGTGATTTAATTATAAACATGCTGCAATTATTTTAAATGTTCCTCTGTGGTTTTGATTTTGTGGGGGGATACTTTTGAAGGAGCAGAAAATATATTTTTAATAACATCTGTGTTTCTTAACCTCATATATTTCATTTTTGCTGATAAAACAAGAACATTACAAATCTCTCAAAAGTCAGGAAGTAGTTGTTCAAAAGTGTGTGCCCCATTGATTGCTTCCCTCATGCTATTCTTGTCAGAGAGAGGTGGTGCGTGGAAAATG